TTCAGAAGCATACAAATAGCACATCTACTTATTAATTCCTCTCTCATCTGGAATAAGAGCAAAAGTATACAAGAATAATGCAAATTAAATGTAATCGTGGCTAATTTGGGGGCTACAAATTTGCGTGATTATCTTGCATTTTTCCATCTTTTTTCAGTTTGACAATATCATTTTATGCAAATTATAGTTACTCTTCCTTATCTCTAATATGTTGAATTTTCTTGAGAAGTCACTGTTTAAATGTATCTTAGTGATTGAAAAAGTATCTTGAACACCTATTTGAAAAAGTTTAGGCCAATGCCAAATTAAACGTATGAATTATAATTTTAATACTTTGACAATATATTTGTTCGATTCTAGTAAAACTTTTGAAGTGAAAGCTTTTTATTTAAATGAGAAGTTTTTATTTCAACAAAAATACATATTTCATGGTCTTAATTGTTCTCTCAAGATAGAAGACATTATTATATATGTATATTTTAAAAGCTATTAAAATTGAGTTTATCAAAGGAAAATATACTTTAGGGACATTTAACATAAAATGCAATACTTACCGTACATTTGACTGGATCCCTTAGGACATTAATAAAATTCAGGTTTACTTTTAATTTTTCTCTAACCTTATTAGAGGCGGTTCACATCAAGGGACCCTCAGCAGGTAATAGTGAAAGGAAAATTATACCAAAGCTGAAGTAATTGCACACTATAGTCAGAGGCCATTAGGGGGAAAAATTTGGTAAGGATGTTTTCAGACATACCCTATACACTTTTATTTATTTATTTTTTTTAACGTTTTGAAGGGCCAGTGTTAAGTGCATAGTGAAAACGTCCCAGGTACTCCAGCATTGTGCTTGCCCTTCCTATTAGAGACAGGGAACAGGAAGAGAGCAGGGTGGGGCAGGTGGAGGGAGGCAAGGAGAAAGAGAAAATGCGAACATTTACATTTTTCTGGGAAAGCAGAGACAAGGATTAAAGGTAGATGCTCTGTTCTAGAGTCAAATGTTATTTTCACACAAATTTGCCCTCATATTGTTTAGCGTGTTGGAAAGTAAGAAACATAAGTTGAATATTTTCTGTAAACTGTTTCACCGGGGCTGCTGTTAATAGTGGGTCGATGATTTTTCTCTTTGATCTCTACAAAATTTTAGATGCCATTCAGAAAACTTCCAAATGGACTCTGGAATCCCAGGGCCTTTTCGCATCATTATTAACAAAGCAGGGACCCCCAACATTCCAGTTGAACAGGCATCTGTGGGTTAAGAGAGTCTTGAAATTTAATAATGCTTGGAATTTATTTTATGTAAAAGTAAAGCATATTTTTGCTATGTTGAAAAGTTCAGATTTCAGGAGTAGTTTAGAAAATGACAAAAAATAATAGTCTTGGAATGAGAGCAAAAAGGAAAGAAAGGTTATTGAAATAGAAGCGAAGCATTCTTTGAAGAAAGGATCATTATCATTCTTATTATTAAAAATAATTCTTCACATAGTTATCTGTATGCCAAAAACTTTAGAAAAATAAACTTCTGTAAGTCTTGAGATAGTACATGTATGTTTATTTACTGTGTGACATCACTTTCAAAACCAGAAGTGTAAGGTATGTATTTGAGATTCATAAAATAAGTTACACGATAAATGTTAAAGAACAAACAAAAAAGCAGAACTTTTTCAGAAGTTCATTTTAAATTAGGGTAAATATATTTGAAGGATGGCGATGGAAGCAAAAAATGCATATAACATTTAGTAAAAACTATCAAAGGGTTCAAAAGGCACAATTCAGAAGGAAATCATAATTGAAAAAACAAGAATTCGGGGTAGGTGTCAAAATCTGAATCTCTTGGTGTATCTTCAAGATAACTATACAGACAAAAAAAATTAACATTCGGCAAAACCTACATCTTCATCATGACAAAAAGACGTTTCACAAAAATTGCCCATTAACTTATGGAACAAGTAAGTAACTACATTTAAGATAATGAAAATAATATTTCTTGTTATTTAAAAAAGTAATTTCAGATAAAGAAATAGACCGGATTAAAATGAACCCTGTTGTGTTAAATTATGATTGGAGTGTTTGGTATGAGCTCATGCATTCCTATGTATGTGTTTAAAACACACACAAACACAAACATGCACAAAGATACAGAAATAGCCTATGTATGTATACACAAACACAGTTATATACATACAACTATATGTGTACATACATATGCCAATGTATCCATACATGTAGCTATATTTATACATATAGTGATGGACGTATCAATAATTTAATTTCTAAGTAATATCCTTCACTTAAAGAAACCAGGGCTCCTGAAAAAAATGCCTGATGCCAAATCTAGGACAGAGAATGCATTAAGATAAACCTGGAACATCTTGTGCTAGAAAGTGGGAATGATCAAAGAATGAGGATATGTGGAAAGAAAAGAGAAGCCAGCTTGAAGAGCTTCCCTTAGCTAAATCTCTGACAAATTAAACATTAAAATAAATAGTAATTATTACATATTTTATCCATTGAGAAAATAAAAATCCATGAGTCCATATTGATACAAAATCATTGAAAAAATGAATGAATAAATGAAGATACTCTTTCTAAAAGTAGAATGTAAACTAGTAAAAGAAGCACAAAGGTGATGGGTGCTGACGAGTTGATGGGTGCTGACGAGTTGATGGGTGCAGCACACCAACATGGCACAAGTATACATATATTACAAACCTGCACGTTATGCACGTGTACCCTAGAACTTAAAGTATAATAATAATAATAATAATAATAATAATTTTAAAAAAAGAAAAGCACCATTTGGCAAAAAATATGGAGAAAATTGACTCAGACAAGAATCATTAATGAAGAGCATCTCTGGTTTTTTAGTGGTCCAGATTTCCAGATTTTAGGGTACTTGGGTACTGATTGATCATGATACTACTAAAGAATCATTTGTATTAATAGAAAACAAAATTTGGGTGGCAAAAGACAAGATATGTTATGATTTTCTGATTTTCAAAATGAGAGAGAGAGAAAATTCTATAGAGTAAATGAGTAAACTACTATTTAGAAAAAATTGAGACAATCGGTGGTGATTATCATAAAACACTGAAAAAGGAAGATATCTCAAAATAATTCTCTAGTATTCAATATTTCAAAATATAAATTAGATTTTGAAACTTCTACAAATATAATAGAACTGTTAGAAGTACATGAAAGAAATACATAAATTGAAAGTCATTATTTCTTTTTATAGCAATATAACATTTTTAAATTTGCCAATATGAAAAAAAAATCATTTCTTGAGATACTTTTCACTACTATTTTTGAGAATTCTGTGTCCAATTCCTATCGATTCTGTGATTCCTTGGAATCATCATTAATTCAGTGAGAACACAAAGTAGCAGTCAAAGACAGTATTATTAACAAATCTATTGATTTTAGTAAGGCATTTGGTAGGTTCATTACATTACCTCTCACTAGATGGGGAGATATTCGCAAAATAAATAAGATGGAGAAAAGCAGTTTGACTATTTGAACAAAAATTCAAGAAGTTAGTAATTGGATTAGTGTTACTCTAAAAAGGTGATTATAGTAATTTCCCTAGTCACATGAAGAACTCTTGGGAAATACTCTATTCTTTCACCCAGTATCCCATTGCACATGACATTTTAATGCCTTCTGTCCAACTGGTACAAAGATTCCTTACTCTTTCTCTTTCTATTAATTTTATTTTTAATTTACACATAATTATAACATTTATGTGTTGTGCTATTTTGATACATTAATACATTGTATCATTATACTACATAATATATTGTATTACAGCAGATTTGTTCATTCATTTGTAATGAACAAATCAGGATAATTAGCATAGAGATCACCTCAAACATTCATGATTTCTTTGTGGTGAAAACATTCAAAATTTTCTACTCTAGCTATTTTGAATATACAATACCTTACTGTTTACTACAGTCACTATACTATGCGATAGGACACCAAATTTATTCTTCCTTTCTAAGGGTAACTTTGCACCCATCAATCAACCTTTCCTATCCCCTCTTCCCTGCTGTCTGGCTTATTTTACTTAAGAGATGAATGAATAAAAAATGCGTAGTATACGTAAACAATGAACTACTCTTCAGCCATATAAAGGAATGAATTCCTGTTTTTTGTAACAACATACATGAACCCGGAGGACATTATTGTAAATGAAATATATCTGGCACAGAAAGACAAATACTGCATGTTTTCACTCATATACAGAATTTTAAAACCCTGATCCCACTCCTTTATTAATACTGAGTAAGAACTTTTCTGTCACCTCTTCTCTAGCAGTTAGCCGTGCTTTCATGAGACCTGTCTCAATTGATATGTATCTACTGTAATGTTTTCACATCTGTATTCCTGTTCTGTTCCTGAGACTTTCAAAAGCAGGCTCAAGTTTAATTTACACTTGAATATGGGTACATGACTAATGCCTAATGCCTGGTGCTCAATTAATTAATGTCGGTTGAAGAAGTACAAGAAGGAGCCTGGAGGATGTTAGACTTCTGTGGTTATAAAATGATGAAAGAAGTTAATTAGGAAGAGTTTCCTCAAAAAATCTAAATAAAAATCTAGCTCAAAAACATTTTATGGAAAGTTTCTAGAGCTTCTTTATCTAGACTTCTAAAAGGAAAAAGTATGAAGAGATATTTTTGCTAAGTATACAGTTTTGATCAGTTTAATATATCCTTTGGAAATTATTTCTATATTTTGATACTAGTATTCATCAGGTTACAGTAATTATTTACCCAACACATTGGTTTTCAAAATTTCACACATCAAGAACATTTGAGCAGAACAAAATTTTGCAAGGGGAATTGCTATATTTTTTCAAAGAAAACATGAAATATATATATTATTTATTTCAATTAAGTCAAATGTCTTACATTTAAAATACAAATATGAATCATATATAATAAATGATTATCATTGTTACATGGATATTTCTAATTTTTCCACTTTTTTCCAGATTTTTTTGTAATTGTGAACCTGGGTACCATGGGCCCTTCTGTGAACTTGAAGTAAATAAATGTAAAATCTCACCTTGTCTAGATGAAGAAAATTGTGTCTACAGGACTGATCGATACAACTGCCTCTGTGCCCCTGGTTATACAGGTAAATCCATATCTGCCCCTGTGTAACAACATATTGCTGTCTGCAAGCAAAAGAAAACCTCATATTTATACTCCAAAACCTGAAATAACCTGCCAGATGCAAACAGGGTAAAAATGTCAAGAGATACTTTGTCTCTTATAAAAGAAATTAATAAGAAGTAAAATTATGTGTTTTATTTTCAATTTATTAATTCCTAAGATTAGATTTTAAGTTATCTTACATTTTTATCTTTTACAGTAAATTTAATTTAGTATGTTTGCATGGCTATAATATAGGAAAAAGTATTTCTGTATGGATAATCTGAGAGAAATAACATTATTATATCTGTTACACAACTGTCATTTCTAAAATACATTTAGCATTAAAAACATTTATATAAAAAAGACAGCCATTGTAAATTCAAAGGTAAAGCAAAAGAAGATTGGAATTAGCCGTCAACATCAATTATTTCACGATATAAATTTTATCCAGACATAAAGGCAAAAGTCATCAAGGAGCTCATAGAAGGTAGAGGCATTAGCCCTCTAAATTTCTGGTGAGAAATTGCATTTACAAAATACAAAAAGCTATATTGTTTTAGTTTTGGCATACTAGTATTAATGATGTGGGACTAACAATAATATAGTTTTTGTGTTATTTTGTTTCATATTTATTTTTTTCACACGATTCCCACAGATACTATGATAATGTATTTAAATCTCAAATCTCAGTTTATTAACATCTGATTTGTGCAGCATTAAAATCATATGGATTTCTATCCTAAGGGATGAGTAGTTAAATACATCTAATATTAGGTTCTCTGCCAGTGGGAATAAAATAATACTAGACAAATGGAAATTATATTGGCAAGCAAAAATGGTAAGGAACTAGAAGTATTTCCAGAGAATAAGTAATCAAAAGGTGAGAGAAAGTTACATGACCTTAAAAAGAACTATGCAGGTGTCTTTTCTGAGAAATCTTGATGCCTTCAGAGGTTATCTTGGTTACAAATCTTATATACACAAAAACTATCAGATTAAGTTAATACTTCCTAAAAAATATCATTTTCTGCAAAGTTCATTACATATAATAAATAAGACACATTAAATTTCAGCTATAAAACAATGTGCTTTCACATTGCCTATTATCTCCAAAATTATTGAGCTATCACTGTAGAACCATATATATCCACTTAGCAGTACCATTCACCTTGCTGTTGTTACTGCTGCTAGAAGTGCTAAAATAAAAAAATAACACACTGAGCTCAACATGACTAAGAAACACATTTGTAAAATTATTTGTTATAACACCTTGCTCTGATATTTTAAATATATCTTAACATTTGAAAGATTAACATGTTCTTTATTTTTCTTGTAATAACCTCTCTAATTTCATTTCAAAATATGGTACTTAGCATTGTTTTAAAATGATATTATCTAAGATGTTACCAGTGGCACATGATTTAAGATGTTTTAATATATGTTTGCATATTGGTACAGCTACAAGTAAAAGAAAACTCAATTAATTATTGTCCTTAATAGATAGGGTTCATTTTTTCTTACATAATAAGAATTCTGTAGGTAGACAGCTACTGGTTGTTGGTCCAGCGACTTGATAGTACCAGAATGGGGTAATGGTTTTCTTAGTTTACAATTCATGATTATAGGCTCGCGTATTCAGAATTGCTGCTGCAATGACTTATGTCATTATTTCTACACTTGAGTCAAAGGAAAAGAGTGGTGCTAACTGCATTGAGTCTTTATATAAGGAGAACCTTTTTTGAATAACAATTAAAACCTGCTAATATGTCATTGAGCAAAACTGACTCACATGTTCATTTTTAGGTTCAGTGGAAGGTAAGAAATTAAAAGTGTACCACTTTCAGAATTTACAGTTGAATATAGAAAAAATATTATGAAATATGTGTTACAGTTTGGTTTCAAACCAAGAAAGATATATGACTGGACATTCAAAAATAAGTTTTCCCCCTCAAGAAAGTTACATGTATTTGTTTTTCTGTACATGCTCTTTTGACATTCAAATTGACCTTCTCTGTCATGCATGGACAGATAAAGCTTTTCCTTATTCTCAGACACTTAATAGCATTTATTTTTCTTAGCCTTCTCTGGAAATCTTTTTTTTTTTTTTCCCAAGGCTCCTAAAGCATTACTGTTTTGTGAGATGTTTAAATCTATTCATTGTTAGGTTGTTCAATTTCAAGAGAGTCATGACACTGCAAGGTTTCACTTGAAGAATCTTAAACTTTGAAACACAAGGATGTTACACTTTTGTATATTTTTCAAGATCATACATCTGGTAGTGACAGAGCCAGAACCAAAATATACATCCCTCTCTATTCCAGTTTTATTTCTACTCTAGCTTTGTTCCATCAGAAAAAAAACACAATTTGAATAAAATGGTATTAGTGATATAGAAGAAAGATAAAATAATGTTAAATACAATATTAAATAGGTTAAAATTTGGTAACCAAATATATTATTCAGAAAAAATTAGCTTTGCCTACACCTATGAATATACTTAACCAAGTTATTAAGGATATAAATTTTTCAAGACTCTGACCAGGAAAGTTTATGATTCTTAATTATCTAAATCAGAGCATTCTTTAAAGAACACATTAAATGATATGTACACAAGCTATCAATGATTAACTCAATACTTCTTTATTTTATTCTTTGTATTCTATTAGCTGTTGAGATTTTGTGATGATCAAGGCTGACATGGTTCTTATTCTTATGGAGACTTGTGGTATCTAGAATTGGGAAAAGATAATAAACATTTACAAAGTTGACTATTTAAAGCCATTCTATAATTAATTTATCTAGAGTATTCTTAATTAAACACTATCACAAATATAGTCCAAATTTACACATGTAGTGAGTTGACTGAATTTAATGAACAGGAAGTACACAAGTGATGGCATATAATCAAAGGCTTATGTTTTCTTTTGCAAAATATATAAATCAGTTTATCAGTAGATTTGCAGTATTGTCTAACTGTCTTTCCTAAAGAATATTGGCTTATGAATTTGAGTTTTAATTATTAGTGATTTAAATTTAGGAAAGATGAATATAAACAATAAATTTACATTGCTTTCTAAAATAGTCATTCACTCATTTAGCAAGAAGTTGCCTCTTAACTAGACACAGTTATATATTATTAATCTGTAGATAAAAGTTTACGAACTTGTGCTTAAGGACTTTAAATATGATTACATGTAGTCATGTCTACATCTGTGTTTATATCTATAATAATATTTATATATCTGCGAGAAAAGTATAAATATTTTTAAAATGCCTAAGTCCTATCTTAGAAATAATAACTTTGATAATAATGTCATGTAGAAAACATATACAATTCAATAGTTCAGAATAATAAAATATAATTATGTTTGCTTCTAAGTGATGCATGTTTTTTCTTGGATATGTTTCGTATACACATGCAAACATATGACTATATTCAGTTATAATATTTTCTGCTTGAGATAAATAAGCTTTTTTCTGAATATATTTTTTGCCAAATGTCCAATCTACATAAGAAGTAAAACAATCTGCTTTGAGTATATGGATAAAGAAGCATAGTTTGGTAAAATATGGACAATTGACCAATTGTACATTTTTGGTTACTGTAAAGATATTATTATCATATTGTTTCTGCTGCCTAAAATATTCCATTTATCCTATTGCAAGTACTGACCCTCATACCATAACTCAGATGCAACTTTCTATAGGAATCTTTTCTTAGACTCTTGGCTTCTGTTATTTTCTTCTATATCACCCATTTTATCCACTGAACTTATTACAGTTTTGTGAAATTCTGATTTAGTTATCAGTTCATCTGAGGAGACTCCCCAACTCTACTTGCTCACCATTTTATCTCTTCTCTCCATCAAAGTTTAGTCTACTCTGGTACAATTTGTCACCTGAGTTCCTAGTTTAACAAGATGTATTAAAATAGAATAAAAAGATAATTAAGTGAATGGGAAATAAAAGATGTAAAAACAATTTCTAATTTCTAATTACATATTATGCATCTGTAATGATTTAAACACAAAGGGTTTAGTGTTTATTTTTTGTTTGATTGATAACTATAAGTCTATAGACATAAACATTTTGGGAAATATTTGGTATTTGATTATATTTAGCTTTAGATTAATAGTAATAACTTCTCTTTGTCAAGGACAGCAACATTATTAACATAGCATTTACCATTTCCTTTTTCTGTTAGTGTAGGCAGGAGCTACATTAAACAGGCAACTGAATTGTGCTCAACCACTTTTCCCTTATGTGACAAGATTTAAAATTCACTTTCACAACTCAAATGTGCAAAAATATGTTATTTCTGTCATAATGAATTCCATATAATGTATGGGTCTAATTTCATCAAACAGAAGAAAATGTCAATGTGCCAAGTCAACATGTGACTTTTTCAAGACAAAATTCAGTTATATCAGTTTTGAAGTTGAATATCTTTTTTATTCAGAGATCCGTCACTCTTTTGCTCTGTTTAATCTGGACGCAATGGAGAAAGACATTATCCCTGGTGTTTGGGTACTGTGTACTGGTATAGACTCTTGACTTCCATGGTCTCTTCCATGGGCTTTGCTCACTATGTCCAAGCTGTCTCATCCTCATTTCAAATCCAAAACCTCATTATAAAATTGCCTTTATCACTTAGAACTCTCAAATCCATTTCTCTTTTATCAAAAGCTGGATCTTACACATTGAAATTGCACTTTGAAAAATGATGTTTATTTCATTGAATTACAAACATTAATAGTACTTTTAATTAACTTATTTTATAGACTGTCTTTGGCTTTTCTTAAAACAATGTTTATTTAAGTAAGCCCTTATATCAGCTTAAATGCCAAGAGGAACAATTACAAAGAAGGAATAAAACTCACAGGGTTTACTATTGAAGATTTATATTCTAGATTTACTATCCAGATGCAAATGTTAATAGCCAGTATCTTACTTTATTGAGTTATAACCACTAATGAATGCAGAAGACAATTGCATTTTCTATTTGCTAATGTCACAAATGTGCATGTGCCTCTTATGTCCCAAG